CCTTTCTGGATCAGAATTTCAAGAACATCGATATTTTTGTAATTGGAATTCTGAGTATTGCAGGATACCAAAAGAAATCGCAAATCGGCTATTGCCAACAAAAACAAATTGTAAACCGATCGATATCTTCTAGAAGCAAATCGAAAAGTTGTTCTATATAACAAAATTAAGTTGCTTGACTCCCCTACGGGAAGGTGAAGCGTAGGTTAAGGAAAGCATAAAAGCGTGGTCCTCGACAACCAAAACAGAGTCCTTAGAAATCGGTTGTGACCAGCACAAGCGTGAGTCGCTTGGTGTTGGAAAGAGAGTTTTAAAAGAGTCCTTGTGTGTTTTCATTTCGTTATCTTGGTGTTCTTTTCCTAAGCTAAATCAGTTTACGAGTTTTGAGTTTGTGTCATCGTGTTCTTGTTCTTTCGATAATTTTCGGTGTCTCAAGACCAGTATTCGCCATCCTACAGTATCTTTTTAATTGTTTTATAAAACATGAAAGAACAAATTCAGCGAGCTTATAAATGACTTTATAAGTGATTTTATTATCGATATTCTGCTTACATGTACTCTATCTAATGAAAATTGACAGGAAATATAAATAGCTGCGCGTGAACGACTCGTGATCAGATCAGGACCGAAACATCAGAGCTGGGCTGAAACTGGTCCAGATATAAGATAGAATATTTCAAGGAAAATTTTGACTGACCTTATATGCAAGGGCTCTGTTTAGAACTTCTAAAAGTCGATTCTCAGCATCGACATTCAGTAACCACTTATCTGCGTTCATCATGTGACCGTTTTGTTCATATTTCGTGCGAATTGTCGTTGAATGGAGTATAGTACTAGTCAGGTATATATTAGCATAGTTATTAAGGGGTTATAGTGCAAAGAAATAGTAGCCAGTGGAAACGGTGGAAATACTGTATAGATGTTGATTAAACGGGCGAACGGTTAGAACTGGCCTATCTGTTTAGGGCTACGCAGGTCAAAAGACGTCTCCAGAAAACTGGAGACAAAAGACAGGCGCTGACAAAAGACAAAACGTAGAGAAAGAGATCGTCCGGACATCGTTAGAATGTAGAGTTTATTTTAGTATTTAATTTTACTACAATAATAGTTATAGTGTTGGTCAACAGAGGGACCTAGGTTCTAGGGGAAGTCCCTAGTGTCTACGAACTGTGCACGTGCAGTATCATGAGTTTTGGGTATGTCTGTCGTTACTGAGTGTAGAGTTTATTTTAGTGTTTAGTTTTACTGCAATAATAGTTATACTGTTAGTCAACAGGGGGACCTAGGTTCTAGGGGAAGTCCCTAGTGTCTACGAATTGTGCACGTGCAGTATCATGAGTTTTGGGTATGTCTGTCGTTACTGAATGTAGAGTTTATTTTAATATTTAATTTCACTATAACAACAGTTATAGTGTTGGTCAACAGAGGGACCTAAGTTCGAGTCCTAAAGTCCCTAGTGTCTACGAACTGTTCACGTGCAGTATCATGGGTTTTGGGTATGCCTGTCGTTACTGAAAGTGCGTATGCTAGGTCTCAGCGATCATTATTGCAAATTATTATTATTGTAAAATTATCTTTCCATGTCTATACAGATTTTCTTAAGCTCTAACTCATGATCGGATGGTATTATGTGGCATACAATATTATTTGCCATACTTTCGTATTTCTGAAAAATAACTTTGGCATCTTTGTTTTAAGCTCTACAATGTGTTTCAATTAATCATACATCATATAGTGATCATACATCAATTGATCATACAGTGTTTAATTCTTTGTTCCTTTTTTCTGTTTGCTCTTTTGATAGATTTGTTAGTTCATCATTATATCGTATTTTATTCTTCAGTATTATCTCCATCTCTTGAAACACATAATGCAAATATGATTTTCTACTTGATTTACTATTTATTAGTCATTTACTAATGATCTACTATTTACAAAATCGATCAAAATGTATCCAAAATATTCTCGACGTTGCTAAGAAAATAGTTCGAAATAAAACTCTTAGATTCAATAAAACAATTATTATAGTTATGTTTTTTTTTTTTAGATCGATGTTTTCTTCTAGTTTTTTATGTCTTCTAAAGGAAATATACATTTCCATCAACGCAATAAGAATGAGTAACGAAATATAATTTATGATAGTTCATGTATGATTTCTTAGAGTGACTCCTTTATAAGTTAAACTTTGCCTTACGTTTGAAAGGTAAATCAGTAGGACATGTTCAGTGCTTATCAAGTGGATAGATTAATTTTTATGATATATATACAGAAGCTTATTTATATTTGCATCATACTTGACAATAATTTTTACGACATTATAACATTGTAACTTTATTTTTGAACTTTAACATATATATTTTTCTGTACTATATATTATTTCTATTATGTCTATATTCCTATATAGGTGTCACATATTTGTATGTTCAATCAAGAGAATTTTCTTCGTGAAATTTTACAAAATTAGCATCTAACATGGTAGATAATAATAACTTGAATTAGATACTGTGTATGTGAGTAAATGGATAAACTGATAAAAATATTTATTGAACACAATAACAGCACTACGTAAAATATAATTAAATCACGTAAAACAAATTCGCTTTTAACTGCGTTATAATCTCTTGAGGACCTCTCACACATAACGTCTATTTGTAATGACTGTCATTCACCTAATGATTGTTTTTCGCGACTCTCTATCATACTCGTCACACACACATTCTTCCACACAAACATTCCTCACACTCATACCACACATTCTATGACAACCACTACCACAGTGTAGAGATGAGAAGGGTACTAGTAGAATACCAATACTTTGATTGGTCAAAATGTAATAGCATCTTTTATTAGACTTTCCATAATCCATTGACATAGATATAAGGCACACGAATTTTCACTATTAGCAGAAAGTGTCCATGTATAAATAGGATCTCATAGTCTCGTAAAACATATATAGCATGACAAAGAGAATGAACAGGACACGTGGAGACAGTGAAATAGAGCGATAACAGCAATACAGAACATTGACATAAATATAGAATTAGTGTTAGCCATTAATATAAGATAAAAATTGCAACAACTTGACTTATCTTAGTCCTGTGATAACGTATGTCGACAAGTACCTAAAAGTTTACCCCGTGCCGTTGCTCTAGCCATTTTCTTATCTCTCTACAACGGACCTAGATCACAGTGTTTAACTTGCTTCATTAAACAATCTAAAAATAATTATTTTACATAACATTGATTATTGTTTCATAAATAATGTATTCCAGTTGATCGTATGCTTTTTATTTGGATAATTCAATGATAAATCATTAAATTAATGATTTAATAATAAATTATTAAATTAATTAATAAACAATAGCAATTAAATAATAAATTGAGTTATTATTTGGGGAAGTAAGGTTTATTTGTTGATGGAAATTTGGAATAAATATTGAACAATAAGCATAATAATAATAATATACACATTGTACATTGTAGATTAAAAATCTAGTTACTCTCATCAAATTCAAATAACGAGTAATTTATTTTATGAAATAACAAATAAATTTTGTGGATTAAATATCTCACGAAATATTTGTATTAGCTCAAAGGCAGATTATTTCTCAAATATCTTCGAAAAATATTTAAAAATGCGAAAATTTGAAAATTTCCTGAAACACCTAAATCTGCTGTACAGTTGGTTACTCGTTGACTTATTATTATAGTAAAACAAGTCACATTATTTATAATGAAAAGATAACTATAATCTAAAATTTATTTGTAAAATATTCGTAATTCGAAACAACAATTTTTCAAAATCGTTGACAAAAATTTTAGATATTTTAGAATTTCCATAAAAATATTTTAGATTTCTATTAAATCGTTTTATTAAAATTTTCATTATTTTCAAAATAAAGAGGCTATCAAATTTTTCTTCCAATATTGTCAAGATGGGAAGAAAATTTATTAATACTTTTTAATAGCGTTATTTTCCAAAATGAACCGATAAGCATTTTATTGTACGTAATAATATAAAATTTCGTTACGTATCATAATCCATAACTGATATTCGCGATGAAGTTCACGAAGACTTGATTAATCAATACTTCTGATCAGCAAGGTCTTCATCTTGAATGAAGGCCAACTTTTCAGCAACTGTGTTCGTAAGAGTATTAAGGAACATCGATAATTAAACAATTTTATTCTTTTATAATTAATAATCTAGTACTGTCAATATCTATTGATACTGATATTCATATTCGTACAAATTATAATTTAAATGAGAAACAAATTAATTAAAATAAAAATTAAATTTAAAAAACAAGTTAAATTAAATTATTAAATTAAATTATAATTAATATTAAAACAAATTATAATTTAGAAACTATTGTATATTCTTCACAAAATTTCCAATTTTCCTAATTTTATCATCTTTGTTTTAGTTGTATAGTGCGTTAATTATGGTCGTTATTAAGAGCTGAACAGACCAAGTACGAGAGTGTTTTTATACGTAAGTAATACCATAATACTCCAAATAAGTTGCCAGCATTGAAGCATATATAGGTATACAAAGTGTCTATGTATCCTAGTAATACCGAACTTATGTAAAGGAGAAACATCTTTAGTAGAATTAGTATTGTTTCGACAGCTGGGACGAAAAGATCTGTTATCGCGTCTAAGACCGAGTTTTGGTTTCTGTGATACAATAGTTATTTTGTTAAAATTGGTGAAATAGTAATCATTTTTGAAAATTCCATCAACTTTTAAAACGTGTGCCTTTTAACAAAAATTATAACATAATAAATTATCTACAAATTGTATATGTGTGTATTATAGTGTGTGCTTCCTAAGTTTCTTTAATTACGAGTTAATTACTAGTTAACTACGAGTTAATTACGAGTTGTTGAAGTGGGAAATTAGTACGACCAAGAGCCCTGAATTGACTAATTTGGATAAGTTGTGCAAATTAAAATCATACTACAAATATAAATATTCCACTTGCAAGTATTCACCACTTCTGTTGAAGTTTATTTTCGTGAGTCTACATGAAATAAAACATGTATTTTTGCGATCGATGGTAAGTAGTTCGCTGAATTATACAAGTATTTTATGAGTGACCGACTGTAGATGGAAGATCGTGAAATTAAAATATTAAAGTAATAACAATTTTGAGAAAAAGAAAATATTGAAATGTTTAAAATATATACGTTTACATGATATAATAGAATAAAATAATTTTTTAAAATATTTATAGAATTGAGATATAAATTTTTAGTAAAAATGAGAAACAATTAAATCGTTAAATTGTCTTTGTAGCTTCAAGTTTCATATGTTCTAAAACGTAATTTATTTCATCTTTGTATTCATTATTTTTGTTTACATTCGTGACAAACCTTACGTTGTTTACGTAGGAATTTACCTAGGGATTTTAAACACGGGAAGAGCTTTCAGGTTTACTAGGATATTAATTTGGTAATAATATGGTAATAATTACTTGATCATTAATAAAATTTGAAAAAATATTTAAAAAAGTTTTTGAACGTAATTTTTCTATTGTATTTTTCTTATTGTTTCTATAATGTTTCTATAATACATGGAGTAAAATTTAGAGAAATTGAATTAATTTAAAGTAAAATTTGGTTAAAGTTAAAAATATTTAGATTAAAATTTAGAAAAATTAAAATAATATTGTATTTTTCTTATTGTTTCTATAATGTTTCTATAATACATGGAGTAAAATTTAGAGAAATTAAATTAATTTAAAGTAAAATTTGGTTAAAGTTAAAAAAATTTAGATTAAAATTTAGAGAAATCAAAAATGAAAAAATAATTTAGAGTAAAATTCGGTTAAAATTTAAAAAATTTGGATAAATTAAAATAATTTTGTGCAAAATTTTCACTCACCGCCATAAGTGACCATGAACAAATTAAAGCACTGTGCGTCTACGAAGAAAATTCCTGATTTTAGTTTCTTGGCGACTTATGCTGACGTAGCAGTAGAACATGTTACATCTGCATATCTTTTATCTCATGTTAACGTACTCTTAATCGCTGCCATGAATTCTAGTTGCCGGCGTCGTGAATTCATGTCATCCCAAATTCTATTTTTGATTGCCATTAACACGATTTCAGAGATTCCAAAAATAAGTTGATTCGAGGTAAAGTCACTAAAGTAAACATTTACCAAATCTTCCATCTTTCTTACAAAATGTATGGCCAGATACCCTAACTTCTCAAAATATCTAACGCATACTATAATCTACGCATTATTAGGCATCACGAATTCGATAATTTATTAGAAGCCAAAATCAGAAATTAAGGGATCAGAGAATCAAACTTTACATCGCCTGATGCAGGTCTGGGGAACATGGTTGCACTATTCCCATCATTAACACTACTTGGTAGCCAGATTGGTAAGCCCTGACAGAGAACGAACCAACTACTACCAATTATTAACTGAACATTTACTTCTTGGGATAAAAAGTATCCTGACTTTTTGTACAGCATTATTTATTTATTTATAGTTAATTATAGCAGTAATTATAGCAGTGCCCGTTTAATTGTCACGATGTAGAGATACACTAATGCACGAAGGTATTCGAACGAAACGCTCATGTTTGCTACGTTCAACAACTGAAATAGATATATATGTTGAATTAAAATATTTGAAATGATACGTGGTACGTGTGATAAGAAGAAAATTCCAAAATTATGCGACCGAAATTAGAAAATGATTAAAGGATATACATATATGATATTTACGATAAACGTTTATTGGAGATATTGACCGCGGTGGCGCTAGTGTGTTTAATGCAAAATCGCATTAATACTAGAACTACCGATCTTTAATGGGTACCTAACTATAACGTGCACAGATTATAGTAATTTCAGTGGTACGATGAATACGAGTGAATATATTGATTACAGTTCTTTCTTAATATGAGTTGATACCAATTTTATTCTTAAAGCAGGTGTATGTGTTCGGTGATTGCAAAAAGGAAAATTCTGGGACCAGTCATTTTGACTGGGTTGGTAGTTCTAGTGTTAATCTACCAGTTCCCCATCATTGCTTTATTGTGTCTTGTGTCTTGATTGTTAGCATGAAACATAAATGTGTACCTACTCTGCAAACTAGTATACAGGGTGTTCTCGAATAACGTATAGAAGCAACCAGATGAGTCCTTATGAAAATGTATGAAAAATAAAATGTTTTCGTTTTCGAAGTAATCAAGCTTGAAAATTCGCTTCGTGTTAGCTCTTCTTACGACTAAAGCACGATTCATCCATCATCCTATAGTGTCCACCATGCTTGCAAACAGTGTTTCAAGACTTTTGTATGCTTCTCGAATCGTCAGTACTCCGTGGACTCGAAAATAAAGCAGAAAGTGAACAAAATTTTGTTCTTCTTATTTTTATAATTTCATAGGGATTCATCACCAGGTTGCTTGTACATGTTACTCGGGGACACTCTGTATAAACCAGCGTCACGTCGTATAATTGGTACTCTAATCACATTACATTATTGGCCAGTTACACTCCAATTTTTCACCCACTCTGTATACAGACTTGCAATTAGACATAGAATCGAATAGTGGGGGCGATTCGTTGAAAGGAAATAGACATCGTGTGGTTCACGAGCCACTAGTTCCACAGACCTAGCTCAACGTACAAGATTTTAGTGTACAAGACTCCTGTCTTTTGTTTATTTCGAATCAAGACGTTTTTCAGCAGCCAAATTGTCTAACAGGTCCGTGCTGCTCTGTCTGCTCATCCTCTCGTAGACGCATAGTACTTAACTGTAACAATGTTTATGTGAATGTATCAACGAGAAACTCAGATAAGCAACAATAGTAACCTAGAAATAACCCAGGTGGCGTTTGAGGAATACAAAACTTCGAATAATGGACGAAGAAAGAAAACTCAACTGATGTTCCGACGTCAGCAGCTGATGTCTAGCAGTGGTCTACCGATTTTTCGCCAGTTTTTCAATGTTATGTGAAAAACGACACTCTCTCTGCCACTTTCTCAAACGCTTCGAGCGAAAATGAAGAAGGAAAGTCGACTATCGGGCATTGGAAATGATCATGACGCGAGTTTTTAGGAAAACTAGAGTAATATGCAGGCAGATGGTTCATTGGCTGGCCAGGTTATTGGACCCTGGTACTCATAAACTGAAACAATCGGTAAGAGTTACTTTACCAATAATAATGCAAAGAGAAGGAGAAAAGAGTAATTAATATAATGTACACTGTATATATGTACTTTAACTTATAATAAATGAGGTATGCACGTTGAACTTGAATCTCCAAATAATATTGTATCTAACATAAAATCCAAATCTTGAGAATGTATGAGCAAAATTGTGAAAAGATCTAATTCAATTTGATAATTGAGGTTAAAAATTGAAAGCATATGTGTTGTTTGTGTGGATACATACACATGTACATACATAGGGTGGGACATATAATATGTTAATATAAACTGTTTATTCTGTAATTATTGGAGATATCAACGTGACTTTCTTTTAAATTATGCGACTAAAGGAGGCTAATTATTTAGTATAATTACTTCTTGTGTTCTAAAATTCTATATATATGATAATTATAGTAATTATAGTTATAATATAAATTATAATTGAAATAAAGCAGGTATTGTGTATTATAGATAGATCTATTGTAGATAGATTATAACATAATATAAATACTATAATTAATTATAGTACCTATCTCAAATCTTCATATTCGAATGCCAAAGATAGTCCAACTAAACATTAACAAATTAATGCAAAAATAATTTACACCCTCGAATACTTATATCATTCTAGAATTTTAAATAAAAATTTATGTGTCATACTTCTGCTTATAATTTTCCACTCAAATTGTACGAAATTGATGCCCTCGCACCATCCTTTCGTCGTTGTTATTGACAACTCAAGGTAGATTCATTTGATCGACCCAAATAACTAGGCTACTATATCTATATCACATATAAAACTGACAGGAAGTACAAACAACTGCACGTAAACGACGCGTAATCAAAATAGGAGTGAAAGGCGTTGGAAAACAAGAAGCTGGACTCTCATGGCAGCCATTTTGCGTGCAACATGGCTGACATGGTTTGCAGCCACTCAATTGCAGTCGTTTTGCTTATATTTCCTGTCTTCTCTCGTTGAACAGTGTACAGTAACAAGATCTAATTGACATTCTAATTGACATTGTCAATCACGTTAGTACTACGCAGCGTGGTCTCGTAGTTCTGAGTTAATATCGATAGATGTCACTACATCAGGCCGCCATATGCAATTGACGGTACGTTCGAACACTACTGCAGCGCCATTTCGATTCTACCGCAGCGCCATCTCGTTCTTACTAGTACTTAACATGACTAGTACTTAAGTTTACACAATCTTTGGTTAACCTGGATATTTTGCTGTAAATGGTACTATCAATGAAGAGATTAAATAAGTTACCTTCACTTTTTAGGTTAAAACTTACATTTATTATAGAGAAAGGAAAATGGTTTATTAATTTCTTCCTTTTCTTTATTTCGCAGATAGACACAGGCAAAGAGTCTGACGTAACCAACGTGGTGTCGTCTTACAGTGCATCATCTGAGGGCAAACAACACGAGAACAAAAGGACACAATGGCGGCAGTGGCTAGCATGTATTTCCGGTTTGTCTCCTACTTTTTAATTTACATTGGCAATTGTTAAAAATTCTTCACTTTGAGAAACTTCGAAATTTACAATATTACATTCTTTTTGATAATCATTGATTGATATTTGTCATGAAATATGAACAAATTTTACAATGTATAATCTCATAGTACATACTATTAATACTTTAATACTCAAGATACTCAAATTATAGTATTGTAAAATTTTCATTTAGACGGTTATATGCTAATATAAACGCTGATATGCTATGTACTTAGTATATAGTCGTTGTTATGGTTAGGTAAGTGTGAGTACTGTGCGTTGCAGAGAAGAAGTCCGCTGTTTCGGCACAGGTATACAAGGAGTGTATAACATACTTGCTCGTAATTTCCACTCTTCTATGACACTACCAAAACCTCTACCTTCAAGTTCGGCAACGTTGTACGTTAACATAGGCGTAAGATATCTGTAAAATTCCTATACTCGAATGATACATTACAAGCTTGCGAATATGCGAGCAATACTGCACGAGTAAAACAGGATTATTTTCACTTATACTTCACAAATATCGAACACATATTTAATACGTGTACGAAATATAAGTATAGTTAAATAAAATTCGGAAATGAACATTCATCGGAAGAATCCGAAGTTAATGTTTTAGTGATAAATATAGCGCGTTCGAGAAAAGAAGGCACAGTGTTCTCACATTCTCACGCCTGATTAACTCTGCTGACACTTACATGATCACAGGCAGTGACTGCTATTGGCCGAAGATGACGACGAAGGTCATCGGTCACCGTTTTCATGATCGGCATCAGCCGTGGGGATATAAACACGCTGTGTCTTCTTTCCTCGAACGCGCAGTATATCTTTTCGTTCGCCTTCTTTGTCACACGGTGCTATATGATCAGGTTAATACGAAGCGCGGTTACTCTACTTCTGCGATGGTGTTAAAATGGGTTGGTGATGATTGGGTCCTACGTATTGCTCAGCGGACTTCTTGTCTGCAACGCACAGTATCAGTATTTGTAACTAATATCTATTAATTAAAGCAAATCTCACTGCACATAATTACAAACTTGGCATAATCATTCCTAATGTCTTGCTTCCTCACATCGCATTGCTGGAAATCCAAGTTCTTGTAATTTTTTAAACATGCAGTGCTTGACGATACTATATATGATAGTATCATTGAACGTGATGATATATTCGACAAAGTATATTTCCGTAAATCAGTCAATATTACTGCATGTTGGTTTAAACAGCTGGCTAGTTTACACTCTGAAATGAAAGCTGCAATAATTAATTTAGTTTGATTACGACGTGTTTGTCAGAGTTGGTTAGCCTTGTGACTCAGGTTACAGCTTTAAATCATTCAGCAACTGTTTCAAAAGTTTGAATATTTGTAGTATCATTCGCACCAACTGTACATACAGTTTAATACCAGTTTAACAAGCTAGTAGATGTTCCTTGAATCAAGTTGATCGGCTATTTCAGTCTCAGATTTTCCAGGGATACGTTCTGGTTACCCAACTGCCCACGCGGAGTCCTAAAGCTATGTTTACATGAGACGATTGTCGTTCAGTCAAACGATTGACCAAATGATAATTCATCAAAATTTCATTTTTTTTTTCTTTTTTTGAGAAATATATTTTTTCATGAGCTCGTTTATTTTTAGACACAGGCATTTTATCGACCATGATAAACAGATCCTAGTTATAGCAAACCATAAATAGTCATCCTGTCTGTGGTTTTGGTTAGATGCTTTACTTCCTTATAACTAGCAATTTTTATCTTTCTCAACTTTCTGTGTAAAAATTAGAGATATAATATAAGTATTTACATATATAGTAAATTTCTTAGTGATGCAATTTTATGAGATTAAAACATTTTATTGATAACTCCTCCCATGGAGATGAAATTAGGCCCATCGCACTTGGGCCCCTTCATATATTTCCTAAATTGTACGTAGTTGTAGAGAATTTTGCTAATATGGTAGAAATTAAAGCCAACCCTAAAAAACTGTAAAGAAAAAAGTCATCCAAAATTGGGCCCTTTTTAATATACTTCATGGACAGGTCCATTTTTCAAAATCGGGAAAGACCCAGTTAACCTAGAACTTGATCAAAAATTTTATCAGATATTCAACGAAAAAGGAACTAATTTCGAGTCTACATCGTACGGCCCTGAACGACGTTGGAATTCCTGTATCGAGCATCAAAACACGTAAACTGCAATGTCTAACCAATTTTACCACCTCGTTATATCTCTTACACTTACACTAATTTTACATCAGGAATTAAGATATACTACAATGTGATACCTTTCTTTGTTTTAGCAACCCTGTCCATGGTGGCAGTGGGCACAGTTTATGGATGGACGACGACTTCTCTCTCTCGATTGACATCCGGGGACAGCGATATGCCACTAAAATTAACGGACGACGAAGTTTCATGGATCGTTTCCTTGACAGTGATTGGTTCCATGATCGGCCCATTTCTAGGTGCCTGTTTGTCCGACCGGTTCGGTCGCAAACGCTGCCTTCTGTTATCCAGCGGGTTCTACGTTGTGGGCTGGCTCATCGTGTTATTCGCGAGCACCGTAGTGGCGCTGTATATCGCTCGAGTAGTCCTCGGTATAGGCGTAGGTATTTCCTACACCACGAATCCCATGTATGTCTCTGAAGTGGCTGATATCAACATTAGAGGCGCCTTAGGTACTTTAATAGCGGTCAACGTATTTACTGGATCATTATTGACCTGTAGCATAGGTCCTTGGGTATCTTACAAAGTACTCGCGTCGATTCTTCTTGCGATACCCATCTTATTCACGGCGTCGTTTGTCTGGTTTCCCGAAAGTCCATATTTCTTGGTGGCGAGAGGACGCAAAACCGAAGCCAGCAAGTCACTGGCATTTTTCAAAGGCATTCGTGACCCCAACGAAGTGAAAAAGGAGCTTTCTTTAATCATACGAGGGCTGTCCAGGAATGACTCACATAAGTCTCACGTATCGTCAAGTCCAAGTCAAAGCATGGAGATAATTAAGCACAGCTGGTTGGCCAAACTGAGAATGTTGTTATTGCCAAATAATGCGAGAGCACTGTGCATCGTGGTTGGATTAATCGCAGCCCAACAATTGAGTGGGAACTTCAGCACTATGCAGTACATGGAGGTGTTGTTTAAAAAGGCAGCAGTCGGTATTGATTCAAACTTGGCAACTATCTTAGTTTTGGTACACGACGAATCCCATGTATGTCTCTGAAGTGGCTGATATCAACATTAGAGGCGCCTTAGGTACTTTAATAGCGGTCAACGTATTTACTGGATCATTATTGACCTGTAGCATAGGTCCTTGGGTATCTTACAAAGTACTCGCGTCGATTCTTCTTGCGATACCCATCTTATTCACGGCGTCGTTTGTCTGGTTTCCCGAAAGTCCATATTTCTTGGTGGCGAGAGGACGCAAAACCGAAGCCAGCAAGTCACTGGCATTTTTCAAAGGCATTCGTGACCCCAACGAAGTGAAAAAGGAGCTTTCTTTAATCATACGAGGGCTGTCCAGGAATGACTCACATAAGTCTCACGTATCGTCAAGTCCAAGTCAAAGCATGGAGATAATTAAGCACAGCTGGTTGGCCAAACTGAGAATGTTGTTATTGCCAAATAATGCGAGAGCACTGTGCATCGTGGTTGGATTAATCGCAGCCCAACAATTGAGTGGGAACTTCAGCACTATGCAGTACATGGAGGTGTTGTTTAAAAAGGCAGCAGTCGGTATTGATTCAAACTTGGCAACTATCTTAGTTTTGGCTGTTGGTCTCATATCCGGCAGTCTGGCCACTGCAACGGTAGAAGGAGCAGGAAGGCGACCACTTTTGATGATTTCTACGTTTGGATCGTGCTTTACTTTACTCATTTTGGCCATTTACCTTATGCTCGATAATAGAGGGATTGACGTTACCGTGGTTAATATTCTACCAGTTATCGACGTGATTGTATTCCAGGTAGCGTATCAGATAGGCCTAGGCACGTTACCTAACGCTCTCATTGGCGAATTATTCCCGACAGAAGTGAAAGGTGTCGCTGGTGCCATCGTTACGATTTTTGACGGTGTACTTGGTTTCATCGTGTCGAAACTGTATCAGGTTATTGGCGACAGTCTTGGGGCTTATACGGTTTACTATTACTTCTCGGCATCTTGTTTCTTGGCGTTTTTAATGGTACTCGTATTTGTACCGGAAACAAAAGGCAGGACAAACCGCGAAATTCAAATGCTTCTAGCTGGTGAGAAACGAAATAGCTCGAACGAAGAAACCAGAAACAATGAAAATAATTTTGTATGACACGAGGGTTTGCACCGTAAATATGAAACACGGTGCCCACCTTCATGGAACTTGATATTTCTTGTTGAAGATATTATAGATGTTATTTTAACGACATGGATCTCTAATTTTGCCAACACACTTAATTTTTATAGAAGTATAATTTTACCAGTTTATATGTGTAGTTACAGAAAGGTTTCTTACAAAGGCCATAGTCACTTATCGATATATGTATATTGTAAATTCATATGTACCGAGCATAAAAAAATAAATATTTTTGGATTAAATATTTTCTTTGTTTCATTACTAATAAGACTGATTTAAATTTAGTTTAATTCATTTTATTTCAAACCAGTTTAGAGTTTTACTTCGTTCAACACTTCTTGAAGAAATTATCTGTGCGGAAGTTACGCTCGTAGAATTTTTTTATCGAGTCACAGTGAACATATATACATGTACTTGAGGAATATAATAATTAAAAATTCTACTTGGTGACTTTGTACTAACTGTGTATATACATATACGAATTTTCCTAACCACATATCCTTGTATAAATATGTACATTTTCCCCATCTCCCTAGTTTTCACACATTGTACACTCATTTTATAAATATATGCAATCATGGACATTTAAAACCTTGGTTATTTTCGTTCATTATCCTAAATTCCATTCTTCTTCATTTTTCTAAATTTTATCATTTCTATGTATTAGTTGCACATTTGTCAAATCGACTAATCGACTCACAAAACAAAAACTATTTTAAATATAAAATATTAAAGGTTAATCGTGTTTTTTAATTTTGAAAAATTTTTTTAAATGCAGTAGGATGGAATTAATTCAACTCAACAGTAATCATAAACAATATAGTATACATAGATTGATATATAATTATTAGGCATCAAAGTAATATAAATAAAGTCAGAAAATTATTTAATGACATATATCAGGGATTGCTTTTATATAGTTTTTTGTATAATTTTTATATAATTTTGTAGATGACTCACGTTTATGAGATTTTTTAAATTTCTTTGATATTTGTGTCTATTTTTTAATATTTTTTTATACCTTATTCTTTTATCTCCAAATCCATGGAAAAAATTATTAGAAAATGTTATTATCGAAAACACTACTGTATTTTAAATTGCCTTTTTTATTTTATTGATTATTTAAGTTCGTCACAAATTTTATGTCTCGTTGCAAATCAATCATTTTACGACTTTTTATGTATTCACCGTGCGAAAGAGTTCCAGATGTATAGTATAATACCTATTATATATAATAATTATTATAATAATATTATTTTTTATTATTTATTATCATTTATTATAATTAATGTCTATTGTTATTTATTAATTATTATAATAATATTGGTTTTTATTACACTAATCAAGTGATAAAAAATATGTAATTACATAACCTCGATTGACATTCTGTGTGCTATGATAAAAATTATGTTGCTACCTGTTCCATGCATATAATGTTTGTTCATGACAGTATAACAAAGCATTGGTTCGCAAACTTTATGTAACACATTTTTCCTTGGCCTCTAGATTTAGTTCTCGCGATTTCATGGGAAAATCCCGGGGCTCTTTACACATATATGTGCGTGCATGTTATGGGAAAAATGACTAATAGGCCATTATTTAGAGATTATTCGTAATGATCGGCCATTAAAAATAATGAACTATTGCTCACTTGTCTCATAGCAAATGTTTAAAGCTGCGTTTCCACTGAACCAACAACGAGGAACATTTTGTAGCCGAAGTATATGCAACAATGGCGTAAAGCTTACATAAGAATGGGGGGCACTTCGAGTAAATCAATGTTGAAGATTCGTTAAAGCAATATTTGTTACCTTGGTAAAGATGCAGCTATAGCTTAAAGGCGAATCCCCATCACGTACTCAATTGCACTGTTGATGTTGTATTAAGGTGAAACAATAATTTCTTGCTGATGAGATCAATATAAGGTAGCCTTAATCGTAAGTCAGTTACTCATGTGCTTACAAAAAAAAGAAAAAAAGAAAGAAAGAAACGTGTAGTGAATGAAAAAAGTATTGTTATATGTAAAAAAATTCTGATTTTAAGGAAAATTCGTATACATATAAAGCATAATAAATTCTACATGGAGCAATTTTTTTATGAACGAGTAATTTTGTTAAAGGTGTCAATTAAATTCATAAATTTTCAAAATTCTTCTGTGTTCTTAAAATAATTTTGGAGGAATTTTTTTTCAAGTAGTTGTGAATTAAAACTAAAAATTATACATTTTCTCACACTTTTCTATTTCTGGGGGAATTTTTTTCACAATAATTGTGAATAAAAACTAGAAATTAAATATTTTTTATTTATTTTTATTAAATATTAATGCTCTGCAATAAAAGGAAAAAAGGAATTAACCCTTTCTGTTCGAATTAACTATAAAAAAATTGTGCATTGAAAAAGTATTTAATTTTAAAAATTATACGAAACTATACGAAAGTTTTAGTATTTCTATAAATTTTGTGCACGTTGAAACATGTTTAATATAATTTTAGTTACATGACAAGTGTAGACTTTATTGTAAGATTTGATATGAAAAATTCATGGCGAGTTAAATTCGTTATTATAGAGTAAGAGGTTAAGTATTAATCCGTTCACGGTCACCAAATTCACTCGTAATGTGAATACATATATACATACTTTACTGATAGCGACCAGGAAAATTGCACGCGCGAAAATGATCCAATTACATGTATGATGTACGTGTATGATATACATATGCAGTGCATGTTACATATTTTTACTTTCGAGATATTACCGTTTAAAGCTCTCAATATTAATCCTTCTTCTAAGCAGTTGGATAAATTTCATAATTTTGTTGGAGATATAAAATTCGCTTTCATGCATTTATTGCTAATGAATATGTAAGTTATAGATTTTGTAAATGAATTAATGAAAGAACTATAATTTCTCGAAATTGTGGTGTTTTTCCTTACAACCATCGATATACACTAATCATACAAATAGGTTAGCATAACCTAACCTAACTTAACCTTACTTCATTGGTGGTTTCGATCGGTTCCAATAATTCTGAATTTCAATTTCTTGCAACCTGCACTTGTTTATGCATATATATGTACATATTTAAGCAATTACTTACTTGTTATGTTTATTGTTTCGAACACATATATAATAATATACATATGTAAAATTGAGTGCAATATTAAGGACAGTTTTTAGCGAATATCTCGGAAACTAATTCTCAACGAGGATTCTACAAAGAAAAAATAGTTTTTCAAAATCTTATTCTTTATAATATATATAAGAATCATCGAGATTGGTGAATCCATTCTGCAAAATTTCCAAGAATTTTGAAGATTTAGGTTTTCTTCAAAAAATACGTAAGATAGATTATTTTTTCAAGTTATTCCAATCGGTTCGTTATTTTAGCGATGAAATAAACTTTTTGCAAAAATAAAATTGTCATAAACAAAATTGAAAAAAAACCACTGAACCGCAGAATTGCCATAGATATTATAGTAGTCAGAGTAATATAACTTGATAATAATTATAGTACGGAATGTAAATGATCATTACCATTTGCATCTTCCTTACATTAGTATTTACCAAAAGATTATATAAAGCAATGTTACTATATATTTATAATATTACATGCACATATACAAATATATGTACATCAAAATAAATGAATACCAAAAACTGAAAACTAAAAATGTCGGAAACCATTTTTCCGAGCTATTACAAAATATAAATTAAATTTTTGAACAAAAAAGAAATAAAAAAGGAAACTTCAACTTTGTCAATCATTTCGAAATGCCAGATATTCTCGAAAAACTGGACATTTTAATTATCAACGAAATTATTATTACCACACTTGACCAAATCATAGCAATATTCGCATCAACCATTCATTGTAATAATTTATGATAAACAACACCAAATTTATTCTACTGTCTCATTTTGTTTAACATGTGTTCATTTGTTCATAGCGTGTGAGCATTATATTATATTTTATTTATTGTTAATTATTTTTAATATTTACTTTCAATATTTAATATTATTTTTAATGTTTTTAATATTTATTTTTAATATTCTTAATTATTTTTAATCATTAATTTATTGTTAATCATTTATTTCTAGTAAATACAGTCAAAATACAGCCAAAGCTTTCAACACAAAAAAGCTATTTTTAGTTCTACTTATCAACGCCCAATCGCAATCGATTTCCTTTAAAAACAGGAAAAACGATGCTCTGGATGCGGTTATGAATGACACTGTATTAACCTCAATTACCATGTATCTTAGACGTTGCGGCGGATCTTGTGGTTTTCAAAGCAACCATCGTATCCTGTCAAGCTCGTATATAAAGCTAGACCTGTCTACGAGTTCCTAGCAAAGCGACATTAACCGTTCGTGCCTGGACATCTTTCTTTTTCTGAATTTAATCGCGGATCGTAATTAATTGTGGTTCGAGTGCCGAATCTCATAAATCGTCTTTTGTTCGTGAAACTGTGATTAATTTACTATCCTAATTTTTTATTAGATTCGTTTATTCTTTTTTTCCTATTTGTTGGTAATTTTTGAAATCAGTGCGTGGCAAAATGACTGACAAGACGGGAATTCTGTACCTCTTCGATCGACCTTCTGAACCTGTCTACGTCCCTAAGGGAGACAACAAGGTCGCTTTTGACATCCCACCTGATTATTTGGTAAGTTCTATGAGTTGTCTAATTAGTCGTTATCTTTTAGTTAATTAGTGTCTCCTGATATCTTTTTGTTTGATTATTATTTGTTTTTGTTATTGGAGAAATCTTGTAACGATTTTATATTTTTTTTTTTTTTTTTATGAGACAAATTTGGTATTAGATGTGGTATTAAATATGGTGGATAAATTTATTCACCTTTTTGAAATGTTATTCGTATATACTTTGTAGAACATTATAAAAATATTGCTTGTAAATTTTCTGAAATATTACAAAAATGCTACTTATGGGTTTTAGGGAATGTTGTAAAAAAATATTAATTACGGATTTTATGGACTGCTGTAAAATATTATTTATGAATTTTTTGAAAAATTATAAAATATAGTTGTAGATTTTCTGGAATGTTATAAATTAGTACTATTTAAAAAATAGTATTTACATATTTTACAGAAAATTGTGAAAAATATTATTTATGGATTTTGCAGAATACTATGAAAATGTTAGACTAGATATAACTATTTTTAGATATATAATTATTAAATACGATTAACCAAATAAAAAATAATTATTATACCATTTCATTAAATAAAAGCGAATTATTGCATAAATCATTGATTAAATACATTTCATAAAAATCACTTTTTTAAACACATACGAACAAGTTTGTTGCATAACCATTTAGTGTAAAATTTATTGTAATAACGTAAAATGCAACATAATTGCCTTGCAGTATTTAATAAAGAATAATAAGTGTCTTTAATACTATGTTTAGCCTGAGAAGTACCGTTCCGTAGCTGTGCAAGTGTTCAATCGTTTCAACGATGACACGCAGTCGAAACTTCAAGTGAAGCAGATCACTCTTCCTGATCTCAGCATTCCGATGCAACTTGGACGCAATTCGCCTTTCTCGCTGTTCATTCCAGCTCATCGAAGAATAGCCACACGATTAATCGACATTTTCATGGGTATGTCTACCGCTTCTTTTCTTTATTTTCCTTTATTTTTATATTGTAGAGACAATTTGATGATGGTATATATATGTAGGCTCAGATTTTAGGTGAATTCACTTAAGATAGTATTGTTGGCTTCTTAATGGAATCAAATAAGCTTATAAATAGAATGGTGGCTATCAAACAAGAGAGATTCACTATGGGCACGCTCTTCTGATCTTTCTTAGACTGACTTGGACTTCTTACTATGCGTGGCTGAAAAGAAGTCATCTGAGAAACTTGTAGGACCGAATCCCTACCAACCCAACCATTCTAACATCATAGCAGAAGTAGAGTAAAACGCTTCCCTTATTGGCAGAACTGATCCCTTCCTATTAGCCCGGTCATAGAACACCATGTGACAAAGAAAGCGAACAAAGCAACGAGACAAAGTGAGACAGACGCAACAAATAGAAGCAAGAGCGTAGACTCATCCCAAAAACATATTAACTTCAGATTCTACCGATGAACACGTGATTATTTGCAATTACTAATTACTAATTAGCATCTTGATTAACTTTTCATTGCATTATGCTGCAAACGTGCTGTACTGTACACATATTTTTTATATTTATGTTGCATCGTATGATTTTTTAAACGGTTATCTAGTACGATGCAATTACATAATTAATTTATCATAAAAGATACATCTTAAATTTTAAATCAATTTTCATAAACGATGTTAATTATTATTACTTTTGTACTCCTTTACCTTATAAATCTTCCGAGCTATTGTCATCTGATTCCTTATCCGACTCACTGCTTTGTATTTCCAATCCTAGGTCTTCAATTGCGTCTTCTATTATTCGAGTGTAAGAATTTTACGGATATCTTACGCCTATGTTAACGAATCACGTTACCGAACTTGGAGGTAGTAGTTTTGGGAGTGTCATAGAAGAGTGGATATTACTAGTGGAATACCCCTCTTGCCCCGCAAACGAACGAGATGACTTCTTTTCAGCCACGCATAGTAGGCATCTAGGTATCAAATTAACGTCATGCCGCTACTAGTGATACGGAGCCAATTTGATTTTAATTCATCGTTAATTTAATTGTCACACACCATTACTGTAATTCATCATTTGGAGATAGGGAATTAATTCAATGTCAGGTCACCAGTAGTGATAGGGAGCCAATTTGACGTCACATTGCCATTAGTGCCATGAAAATAGTGGTCACCACTTATTAGAGGTCAAAGAAGCGTGTATTCCTTTTCAATCCTCTAAACCACGATCTGCGAGAGATTTAAATCAAGATAATCCCCCACACTATATTACGCTATGGCCAACGAGACTAGTCTTCCTTACCAATTACCAATACCAATATAAAATACCAAGTTTTAAAACCACCGTGACAAGAGTCGCACAAGGAGTTCTCTTTAAAATTTAAAGAAGGTATTAGGATGGTTTCGCAGTATCGATATAAGTTGTTGGTGCCATGTTGGCTTCACGGTATCGAGATATGACGTAGGTGTCAAATTGGCTTCACACAATCATCACGCGCAGTTGTGGCATTCGGTATCCTGTCTCATTAGACGGAATATGGATCAATCAGTTTCTAATCTGTCATGTTTTATGTTACAGGTATGCGAACGTACGATGACTTCCTGTCAGTTGCGGTTTACTGTCGCGATCGTGTGAATCCGAATATGTTCATCTATGCGCTGTCAGTGGCGATACTGCATCGCCCTGACACGAAGGACCTGCCAGTACCACCGTTGACAGAGGTATTCCCGGACAAATACGTGGATGGTGGAATATTTTCCAGAGCTCGAGAAGAAGCTAACATCGTGCCTGAAGGTTCCAGGGTGCGTACAAGCATTTCAGTTTTAGCTTTAACACCAAACCTATCGTGACAGGTAGACGAAAAAATAAAATAAGGATGGCTTTAGAAAAATGGGACACAAGGAGACCTATATCGAAAGAAAATTTGTTTGAAAATTTTTGGAAAATTTTTTTGAAAAATTGTTTCGACCTATATCAAAAGAAAAATCGTGAAGACCAGTGATCAAAACTACAACGTTGAATGCGAAATTTTTAATTAAAAATTTGGAAAAGACTAGTTAGGCCTTGGCAGGTTTAGGGTTAACGTTGAGACTAAAGTTCAACTTATTGTCAGTTGCTTGGGATAACCTGTATCTTAATTTTATAGAAATTAATATGAGAATTATAAAATAGAATTTACTATAATATAGAGTGTTCTAAATTCACGCAAGATTCGAATTTTGCGCCATTTGTGCGATAAAGTGTTGTCAACGAGGAAAAAATGACAGCGTGACAGCTGACAGTTTAGGGTTATTAAAAATGAACCGCAATATGAAAGAACAACGCGTCTTCATGGCTGATCAATATTTAGATTCTTAATTTGTAATTAAGAACCTGTGTTTTTGTATCAAAATTACTTCTTGCGTGAGTTTTCCCTCACATTCCAAGACACTCTTCACTCGCATTTGGTACTGCCATAAATCATTCATTCATACGATCCTTGCACACGCACTGCAAATATCAGCTAAACCCCTTGCACTATTTCTACGAGTCTGACTCGTTATTGACATTTCGGGCCAAACATGAATATCACGAGTCTAACTCGTTATCGACGTTTCGAGCCAAACATGAATATCACGAGTTTGACTCGTGATCGAGATTTCGGGCCAAACATTAATATCACGAGTCTGACTCGTGGTCTTAATCTCGGGCCAAATATGAATATCTCGAATGGGCTCGCGGTTACCTCGCACTCACAGTTGTTTCTACTACTCGAAGTCCAACGACGCGACGTGCAAGTGCATCGTGAGCATTACATTGTGCATCGTGACCAGTCTCCCGTTCCCATTTCCCATGGAAATCGTACGCCATTAGGTTGATGAGATCTAGATAACTGAGACGGCACAGTGGCACTTAGTAGTTAGATTTAATCCAGATTATGAGGTATTATACGTTTGAGAAGAGATGGCACAGTGTGTTTGCATCCTCACGGCTGACTGACTTCGCTGACACTCTCTCGATTACAGGCAGTGAACTATTGGCCGAAAGGTGACCGAGATCATCGGCGGGCCTTAGTGAAACCTAGTGAGATAGGATATGGCAGCATCGGCATTAGTTTCCTGTTTCTTAACACTATACCGTCAGGTGGCACCACGTTGGTGTCCTGCGAAAACTATCGGGCAAATGCCGGTGACACCACGTTGGTATCATGCGCAAATGATGCGTCAGTCCTACCGGCATCAAACGAAAGAATCCCGATTAGACGTGCCGACGGCATAGTGTTAATAGCTTCGAAGACTACGCCAATGCCGTCGTATCCTATTTCACTCGGTTTCACTATGACCTGCCGATGATCTTCGTCACCATTTTCGGCTAATAGTGATCAATGCCTGTAATCTAGAGAGTGTCAACGGAGTCAATCAGTCGTGAGGATGTAAACACGCTGTGCGCCATCTTTTTTCGAACGCATAATAGCAAGATCTTAACTTAGTCCTCTATGGGCCTGTATAACTTTCAGGTGTAATAAAATCTGATATACCGCTTCCTTTGCTAGTATCCTTCCCAGCTCACAATACCACACTACATAATTATGTTCTGCTCGTGCAGTATTACTCTCATATTCGCAGGCTTGCAATGTATCATTCGAGTGTAGGAATTTCACAGATATCCTACGCCTATGTTAACGTATAACGTTACCGAACCTGAAAATAGTGATTTCAATAGTGTCATATAGAAGTGGGGACTACGAGCAAGCATGTTAGGCAAAGCAAGTGGAATATCCCCTTACCCCTGTGTTGAATAGCGGACTTCTTGTGTGCAACGCATAATACATAGACACGTTTCTAATCCGTAGATACCAATCGAGATCCCAAGGGATTACACCGCGTCAGACCTGGATGCGGAACATCGCGTAGCTTACTGGAGAGAAGACATTGGAATCAACCTTCACCACTGGCACTGGCACTTGGTGTACCCGTTCGAGGGTGGCGCAAGTATCGTTAACAAGGATCGACGTGGAGAGCTCTTCTACTATATGCATCAACAAATCATGGCCAGGTAATGCTGTAATAACTGATCAACAGAATGAAAAGACACCAAATCGTTAAATAACTCTAAACGATTAGCAAATTGATAGGCCGAGAACTCCGTTACCTAGTGCACCATGCAAAAGATACTTGTAGAATTAATAATATCCTTGTTCGAACATTTTCAGATACAATTGCGAACGTCTGTGCAATCAACTTGGACGGGTGAAGCGACTGCTGAATTGGCGCGAACCGATCCCAGAAGCATACTTCCCAAAGTTAGATTCCCTAGTTGCTAGTCGCTCGTGGCCAGCTCGACCTGCTGGCGCCGTGCTCAGCGACATCAATCGGCAGGTGGACGAACTGAACTTCGACCTACAGGACATGACAAGATGGCGCGACCGCATATACGAAGCGATCCATACGGGATCAGTGATTAATGCTAGGGGTGAAAGGATCCCGTTAACCGAGACGAATGGAATCGACATTCTTGGTAACATAATGGAGGCCAGCATCCTGTCTCCAAATCAGAATGTGTACGGTGACCTCCACAATTTCGGTCACGTCGCTATTTCTTACGTTCACGATCCGGATCATCGTTATTTGGTAAGTGTGAATGAAATAGTAACTGTATGTCGTCACTAGGTCGGTCTTAGTTGGCGACGATTAGTGACGGACGGTTCATTGAGGAAAGTTGTGTCTAGTTTCGATGTGTTAAGTGGACTGTATTTTAGTAGAACTCTCTGATAACTCTCCTGATCTATCTTCGTGACTGCTCTGTCCGTGGTTATATAATCTTCGTCTCTCTGCTGATTGGTTGCGAATACTATTGGGGGTGTGTGCCAGCTCTAGCGTCCTTCAGTGGTGGTGGTTGTTTAAACAATCTAAGTCCGTCGTCTCAGAGGTGATATATAGTTGCTTGCTAGTGTTTACCCAAGTGGAGGCTTAGGTGACAATGAGTGTAGAAAGTTAAGGGACGCTGACAATAAGGACATAAAACAGTCCTCCACTTGATCTGTATCAGTGCAGTCCTAGGGCCGCAACACTGGTACTTGTAAAATTTCAGAGCTTTCACTTTTAGATTTACAGTCCTAAACAAAGTGATGACCGGAGTACCGAAAATGACCTTTCACGGATTAACAGTAACAATGTTAGATATTAGTAGCAAATTGTATGTATTAAGGGGGTTATGATGTCTTGTTCCTGTGGCTTCCTGTTGGTATCTTGATGGTATCCGTTCTTGCTATGATAGGTAGGAGAGGTAGTAGAACGTAAGGAAGGGATGCGTGTCGTCCTGGGCCTGCTAGTGGACTCGTCAGTAAGACTTTCTAGAAGGCCCCCCTTTTTTTATTTTTTAACCTAAAAGAAATCTTCGAAAGATGTCCTTAGGCTAGGGACAAGGAGTTATGTAGGATTTTTATTTGCTAAAACTTTCATGGTGGCCATTCTCTCCGCGATGGTAGACGACACCGAGAACTCAAGACGAACACCAAAAACCCCCAAACACCAGTCTCCCCGCGGGGCGGGCCCCAAAATTTGGGGGTCCTTTTCCAGGCCCTCTTGGTTTACCGATTCATGGCGTCGCGTGGCCACTTAAACTTAGACGAGGGATACTTAGGAACTTATATTTATGGGAGTCGAGGATTCACCAAAGATTTGTGAGAAATCTCGAACCTCCATTCTCCATCTAGCGGTTAGAATGTAAACGTTGGTCGCTACAGGAGTATTGTAATCTAACCTATAAAAATCGACTTTTGGGGATTTCTTTCTAAGGAAGGCATGATACATATTGGTACGCAGTTTTCGTGCTCGGATTTATTTATACTTAGAGAATATTTACAATTTCCTTTTTTAAAGAAAATTAAAGAAAATTGTGTCGTTACTGACGTGATTCCGGACCACCTAATTATTGAAAACTAAAAGAACAAAACGTTTCGAAGTTTAAATATCGATTTTCCTTGTACTCTTCGTCCTTTGGGTGACGAATAAAAATAGAAAAAAACATCGGATTTTGAAATCCGTGGACCATGCGATAAAGGTACATCCGGTAAAGATCTTGAAATTTCGAGTCCATCGGTCAACTAAAATGCGAGATATCCCATCAGCAGGTTCAAAAATATAATTTCGAGAAAAACACGTTTGAAGTTTTTGTTACCGGTTATACAATGCCTGTTCACCGCACTTTGAACATCTATAACTTCGCTAATTTCACGAATTCGAAGAAATCCTTTTACATGAACAATATCTAAAGCACTCACTTTGAGAAAATGTAAAAAGAAAATCAATTTTTTTCAGCCGGTTTACAATATCCTTAAAACTAATACTTAACCAAATACTCGTTCTAATAATGCTAGAAGTGCAATTTTAATTATTTGACTGCTCTGTCCGTGGTTATATAATCTTCGTCTCTCTGCTGATTGGTTGCGAATACTATTGGGGGTGTGTGCCAGCTCTAGCGTCCTTCAGTGGTGGTGGTTGTTTAAACAATCTAAGTCCGTCGTCTCAGAGGTGATATATAGTTGCTTGCTAGTGTTTACCCAAGTGGAGGCTTAGGTGACAATGAGTGTAGAAAGTTAAGGGACGCTGACAATAAGGACATAAAACAGTCCTCCACTTGATCTGTATCAGTGCAGTCCTAGGGCCGCAACACTGGTACTTGTAAAATTTCAGAGCTTTCACTTTTAGATTTACAGTCCTAAACAAAGTGATGACCGGAGTACCGAAAATGACCTTTCACGGATTAACAGTAACAATGTTAGATATTAGTAGCAAATTGTATGTATTAAGGGGGTTATGATGTCTTGTTCCTGTGGCTTCCTGTTGGTATCTTGATGGTATCCGTTCTTGCTATGATAGGTAGGAGAGGTAGTAGAACGTAAGGAAGGGATGCGTGTCGTCCTGGGCCTGCTAGTGGACTCGTCAGTAAGACTTTCTAGAAGGCCCCCCTTTTTTTATTTTTTAACCTAAAAGAAATCTTCGAAAGATGTCCTTAGGCTAGGGACAAGGAGTTATGTAGGATTTTTATTTGCTAAAACTTTCATGGTGGCCATTCTCTCCGCGATGGTAGACGACACCGAGAACTCAAGACGAACACCAAAAACCCCCAAACACCAGTCTCCCCGCGGGGCGGGCCCCAAAATTTGGGGGTCCTTTTCCAGGCCCTCTTGGTTTACCGATTCATGGCGTCGCGTGGCCACTTAAACTTAGACGAGGGATACTTAGGAACTTATATTTATGGGAGTCGAGGATTCACCAAAGATTTGTGAGAAATCTCGAACCTCCATTCTCCATCTAGCGGTTAGAATGTAAACGTTGGTCGCTACAGGAGTATTGTAATCTAACCTATAAAAATCGACTTTTGGGGATTTCTTTCTAAGGAAGGCATGATACATATTGGTACGCAGTTTTCGTGCTCGGATTTATTTATACTTAGAGAATATTTACAATTTCCTTTTTTAAAGAAAATTAAAGAAAATTGTGTCGTTACTGACGTGATTCCGGACCACCTAATTATTGAAAACTAAAAGAACAAAACGTTTCGAAGTTTAAATATCGATTTTCCTTGTACTCTTCGTCCTTTGGGTGACGAATAAAAATAGAAAAAAACATCGGATTTTGAAATCCGTGGACCATGCGATAAAGGTACATCCGGTAAAGATCTTGAAATTTCGAGTCCATCGGTCAACTAAAATGCGAGATATCCCATCAGCAGGTTCAAAAATATAATTTCGAGAAAAACACGTTTGAAGTTTTTGTTACCGGTTATACAATGCCTGTTCACCGCACTTTGAACATCTATAACTTCGCTAATTTCACGAATTCGAAGAAATCCTTTTACATGAACAATATCTAAAGCACTCACTTTGAGAAAATGTAAAAAGAAAATCAATTTTTTTCAGCCGGTTTACAATATCCTTAAAACTAATACTTAACCAAATACTCGTTCTAATAATGCTAGAAGTGCAATTTTAATTATTAAAGAAATTACCAATATTCATTGCTAAAATAATTGTTAACAAATAAATTCTTTATAATATTTGCTAAAATTATTATTTATTATATTATAATCTAATTTTTGAATTATATGTTTAATACACTAAAATATGTTGGAATAAAAAATATAAAATTGTATTATAAAAATTATAAATAATTTAATTTGTAAATTGATTGGTATTTCGTGTACTTAAATGTGTACATGTTAGTATACGTATATTTGACAGTAATAATAGTAATAGCATTTTATAATTAGTATTTTGATGTACAGGGTGAACCATCTGTCATCTCAATTATTTCTAATTATTTATTTCATAGAAAGCGAGTAAAGAAAATTTTGTAATCAAATTGTTAGACACAAAAGAAAACTTCAAAATCTTTGCGATTTTGTTAAATCTGACAATATCGCCAAAAATACATTTTTCCGGTACCGGGAATCGAACCCGAGCCTCCTGGGTGAGAGCCAGGTATCCTAGCCACTAGACCATACCGGATTTTGTTGAAGAGATATGTTGGGTATGGGTACATTAGGTCCTCACCGATTATAATAATTTTCAATCATGTAAATGTCAATATCTTTTACAATTTTTTTTCCTCTACTAAATATAGGTGGTCAATCTTAGTTTTCGAAAATGTCTTTTATAACATATTTTAAATTCATCAAAATTGATGAAGTTATTAGCATTATACTATATTATACTATATTAGTGTTAGGTTTAGGTTAGGTTCGTACTACAATAAATTTTATACTACAATATAACGTTACAATACTACTAATATATTACAACAGTATAACAATATTCTTTAAATAATCTAAATAGGTGATATTGAGCAATATTCGATAAAATTTATGGATATTAAAATTGTAGTGTAATAAAATATTCATATCCTAACGATTTCTATAAAATCCCATAGAATCCTTATTTAACATTAAACTTTGCATTTTTATTTGATTTTATGCATAGGTCCTAGTTTAATTTTTTTCGTGTACAGAAATGCAAATTCTAGATATTCGTATAACCGAAAAATCACTACTTTGTTTCCCACTTTTAGGAGAGCTTCGGCGTTATGGGTGACTCAGCGACCGCCATGAGGGATCCAGTGTTCTACAGATGGCATGCCTTTGTCGATGATATCTTCCAGGAACATAAGAACACATTACCCCCGTACACTGTAGAACAAGTAAGTATATACTCATAAATCTATATTAATATTTATACTTCGATTAATATATAATACTTTACCATAAAATATAACATAACCTTTATGACTAAAAGAGCCAGAAGTAGAAATAGAAAATAATAAAAATTCCAAAACGATCAGATTTTTAATGTGACACAAGAATTTATAATTTAGAAATAACAACTATAGTTAGATTAGAAATTAGCATAAATGCTATATTAATTTTAACGTTACAAGGGCTTCTGGGAAATTGCTTCCAATTTATCAATTTATGGAAAATACATGTGTACATATATACAGTAAGGAGCCCAGAAGATGTCAATAGGCTGTGGTTAACATGTAGGTTGATCTAATTATTTTAAGCATCTTACTATATCTAATTTTTTAACTTTGTATACTAAACAACACGAAATGATAATTATGAAGCTATTAACCTTTTTTCCTTTCCATAGTTATAGATAGTTATAGATAAAATCTGTTGGAAATTTATAGTGAAGAGCAAAACCGAGTCTATACTACGTTTATATTTAAACAGCTAAAACTTTGCGAGATGAAATCGTACAATAACATTTCTAAAAATAACCTCCCACATATATTAGTAGTATATATTAGTATATAGTCCTAGTATTAGTATATAATCCATAGATTCAGTTTTGCTCTTCACTGTATGTATCAAAAACTATAGTGCATCCTGCATAAAATGGACTATATGTTGTTCACAGTTGGACTTCCCAGGTATCGAAATAACGAAGGTCAACCTGACGACCAATCAGCAACGCAATGTAATAAACACTTTCTGGACTAAGAGCGACGTAGACCTGTCTCGTGGACTCGATTTCACGCCGCGTGGCGCTGTGCTCGCTAGATTCACGCACTTGAATCACGCTGAATTTTCGTACAACATTGTCGTTAATAATCGTAACAATACGACGAAGACAGGTACCATTCGTATCTTCATAGGACCTAAACAGGATGAACGCGAACTGCCGTTCAATTACAGACAGCAGAAGAATATGATGATCGAGATGGACAAATTCCCAGTAACGAGTACGTGTCCTATATTTATATCCCGAATATTTAATCTCGCTTAAATGTTTTATTTAAATTTTATTGACATTGGATTTTTAATACTAATTTTGTTTCAATATTATTCATTTCAATTCAGTATTCATTTTGGTTAATATTAGATACAGATTTTTGCGTGTTTAATAATTTTATTAAATATTCGTTTTTGTTAATATCGGACAAAAAATTTTTAAATATCTAATAATTTAATGGTATTAGTCTTGGATATATAGTTTTATTTGAAATTAGGTATAAATTTTTGCAAATGTCTAATAGATTGTTATATTATATTTATATATTACAATACACAGCGAAAAAGTTATGATCGATAAAATTTTTCGAAATTTCAAGGTCATTGATATCTCCTACACTTCTACATACATTTTTGCATACATTTATTATACATTTATTATATTTAAATATGTTCGTGCATAAAAAATTTCCATTCCCATTGACCTTGATATTTTTCTCAAACCAAAACGTATATTCTTCAATTCGTTCACCAGTCATTTGAACACGGTAGCTATAGTGTTAAAGTAATACTGCGACTGACAATTACACACGTCTCTTCTTTTGGATTCTACATGACAGTTCTCAAGACATTTCATCACTGTCACAACTGACTTTTACACATTTGTACACACACGCTACACACTCACACAACCCATCCCAAAAATTCCACGTGTATTCTAAGAACTCGTTTGTTTTCCTCTCATAATCTAACACGAATCATTCGCATCGACAATCAATCGAGATACCCTTGCTACTACTATTCTTTTGCCTATTTTACGACAGTTCGTCCTGGATCAAATACGTACGAGCGTGGATCAACAAAATCCTCGGTAACCATTCCGTTTGAGAGGACCTTCCGCAACTTGGACGCGAGTCGGCCAGGAGGAGGACAGGCGCTGGAGCAGTTCGACTTCTGCGGGTGCGGATGGCCGCAGCACATGCTGACACCAAAAGGAAAGAGGGAAGGCTTCCCGATGGATCTCTTCGTCATGGTGTCTGATTATGCGATCGATGCTGTGGGTATTCACGATCTCTCAAATTTCAACACTACACTGTTCGAAAAGTTCGCAGAAATTCAGTTATGCAATACATTTTCAATTGGCTGGTATCCCTTTCGAAGTAATCCTCTTTCGAGTGTACTATGCGTTGCAGAGAAGAAGCCCGAAACGTAGGTTCGAATCCCCACCACACCACTCATTCTAACGTCATCACAGAAGTATTGTGCGTTCGAGAAAAGGAGACACAACGTGCTTACATCGTCAGGACTGACTGACTCTACTGATAATTCCATGATTACAGACAGTGACCGCTATTGGCTCAAAACGGTGACCGATAATCTTCGTCACTGTGCCTTCTTTTCTCGAACTCACAGTAGCGGTTTCAGTAGTGTCATAGAAGAGTGGGGACCACGAGCAAGCATGTTCGGACGAGTGGAATATCCCTTTGCACTTGTGCCGAAACGTCGGACTTCTCTGCAACGTACAGTATTTACGTTCTGCACCCTGTCAAACAGTTAATAAGATGACAGTAGGATTTTTTGAACAGAGTAGTACTTAGGATATCAATCCCTGTAATTTTCTCTGTCATATTTTCTCATTTATAAGCATACGTCATTTTGCTTAGACCATTGATACTGTCAGGGCCGGTCTGACCTTTTGCGAGGCCACGTTCAAAAATTTTGCGAAACCAGAAGACGTTATGGTATCGATAAATGGTATGGTACCATCATTCTCTAAAAAGTTAATCAAAATTGGTGTTTTCTAATTGGGTGATTCCTTAACAACTAATATTTTCCGCACCCCTGTTGCAGTGGTATCAAGCTTTGATGCCAACGTTTAATGTCAATGTATAGAACACGCTGCAATGAAATATTTCAATACAAAGATGCAGGAGAAAATCTTGCACTCGTGTCAGTGTACAGCAAGCTGTACCATATCCAATTAATCCATAATCGATCAATGGATTATGCGATTGTATTTTCTACACACACCCGAATATTCACTCTACTATACAGGGGGTCTTGTAAAATGTCTGATGAGTTTTCTTACACCACGGGGCCTTTCAAAACGCAGGGCCCGGGGTTCCGGTGAACGCGCTGAACCTGCCCCGCACCGGCCCTGGATACTGTTATATAACCTAAAGTCTTAAGTATGCGATGCAGAATTATTTCGACCTAGCTATAATTGTCTGTGTGTCGTATAATATTGCAGGTCGATCAGGATGAACCAACTACATGCAGGGATGCTGTGAGTTTCTGCGGATTGAGAGACAGGAAGTATCCTGATACTCGTCCCATGGGCTATCCGTTTGATCGTCAGCCTCGTTCTGGTGTCGAGAACTTGGTCCAGTTCCTCACCCGAAATATGGCGATTACCGAGATATCCGTTAAATTTTCGGACACGGTTGTGCCTAGAACTAGATCTGGGAGCATGGGCAACACGTTGATGTTTACGTAATGAGATGTGTTCACGGATTGTATGTTTTTTTATGTTGTTCTGATGAGAATCAGACATACAATGGCGTTTGTTTCGAGGTTAAATTGATATATTTATTTTTCTCTTTATTTGAAATTGAAAAATAGATCAAATAGTACTGACCCATATACAGAAGAGAAAGGAAACGATGTCGATGAAGGAAAGTATTTGTATCCAATTCATAATGAAAAATCAATCACAAAATATTTGAACCAATAGAACGTTTGTATAATAGGATACTTATTGTTTGACAAATATTTAATGTTCACTATTTCGACAATGCGATTTACATTATTTATCTGATGTTATAATCTAATATAAAATTGACAAATTTCATAAATTAATATTTCGATGAAAATGAATATCACGATTAAGTACTATACACTAATTGTTGTGAACTGAAAGATAGTAAATGTGTTTTATTTAAACGATTGGATGAAAGAAAAATGGAATTTGAATCGTACTACATTCGTATTAGTTAATGATTTTCTACTTTATCGCTTTTTATTTTCTATTATTTTACTTCATTTTTGTACTATGAGAAATAAATTGTAGCAAATAAGATGCAAAAATAAAATACCAAAAAAAAATAGACAGTAAAAAAAGATTTTATTCAAATTACCTGTATTTTATATCAATGGTCAAAGTCAATGGTCATCGCTAATGTGTTATATTTCAGAATGATGGATATAAAGAAAAGAGAGTGATTGAAATGAAAGCAGTGAGAAGAGGAAATACATATTATGTCAAATTAAGAAACAGAAAAGGGGCAGCTTATGTATCAACAGAGAAGGATGTGTGCTGTGGACATGCAAATATAAGAATCACTGAAGAGATGGAGAATGGTCACTTGGTAATAGTTATAAAAGTTATAGATAAATTGAATATAAAGTATAAATGTTGCATTAAGGTTCAAATGTGTAGAAATATCTAAAGGAACTTGGAAACTATAAAAGCAGC